TTATTAAGTCATTTTGTTTATTTAATTTCCCTTGATGTTCCAAAAATTTGGGGCGTCACACCGACTAAGTCGTATGGTTCACCAATACTGCACAATTGGTTGAACCCAAAGCTTTATCACATACACTCTTTTTATTTGCCTGATAATCTCATACAAAACATAATAAAGCAACAAAAAAACTTCTTCTATATCCCAAGATAAGAAGTTAGCTCAATATATAAGAGAGAAAACTTGGAGGGCAAGTTTTCAAGAAGACTTGGTGGATAAGAATAGGAAAGGAAATTGGTGGGAAATTTCCTTAGAAGACTTGAAGACTTGAATTTGAAGACTTGGGAGACTTGGAAGACTAGACTAGAGGTTGGTTTGAGTCACATCATCTTATTTAAGTCACTATCTTATTTAAGTCACATCATCTTATTTAAATCGCATCACATCTCTAACATATCACATCAAACCCAACCCATATAAGTCAATAAGTCAAAAAATGTACTTTTTTAGAACATCCCAAACCAATCCTAGGTAAACAAGAAAACTTGACTTGACTAGAAGACTTGATTGGTGGACAAGCAAACTTGGTAGAAAAGAAAAGAAAATCAAACCTATAACACATTATAATACTAAAATATCTGCTAACACAATCCATAGTGTGTTTTCACCTTGTTTCAAAAAATCATTGAATACTTTTTCAAGTATTGTGTGATATTATTTATATAATATTTTTTGTCAATAAAAAAATATAATACATATTTAACTACCTAGATAAGCCAATACTGAAGAGAAGATCATCTAGTTTTACATCTCTGCTCTATATTCACTCTCGACAACTCACATCGCTCTCTATGGGATGTTGATTGGGTGTGAATATAATGCGGGACCTAGGAGGGTCAAACATGCTCTTTGAGGGGTTAGAGATGTTTTTGGACCGATGCATGACCCATGACCCATTTAAACATATCCATGTAATTTGAATTTGAATTTGAATCCTATTTGGATATCCCACTCTTGATATCTATATCTATCATATCAACTGATATGGATAGATGGGATACTCAGCTTATATATCTAATACGATATATAAGATATGAGATGTATTGAGCCTCCGTTTGGGAAGTAGGTTGGCTTTTTGGCTTTTTGGCTTTTTTGGCTATTTTAGTCTAGGCTAAAAAGCTTGGTTTGGGAAGGGCTTTTTGGTTTTTTTGACTTTTTTTGTGAGAGAAAAGTATAATGATTATGGGTTGGATGTGATGTTTTGTTTGTTATGGCTAAAATAGCCTATTTTGTTTTTTGTGGCTAAAATAGCCAAAAAAGCCCAACCAACTTCTTCCCAAACGGTGCCTCAGCGAATGATTTTTTCTCATACTCTCTAACTCTCTTCCATTAAAATAACGATAAAGCTTTTTGCACTGTAACTCGTGTGGGTGATACTCAGGGGTTGTTTGGGGTGTCTTACATAAGTGCACTTTTTATCTTTTTGAACTAAAAAATTGAGAAAAAAAATATGGATGTTTAAGTTAACTTTTTGACTTTTTATAGAAAAATATGTATTAAAAAATTATATAAATTAGTGTGTAAGGAAAAATTAGGATTAGGAGTTGTGCAGTTGTAATTTTTGACTTTTGATAAATAGTGATAAATTTTTAACTTTTTAACTTTTTGACAACTTGCCAAACTTGGTCTCATATTATGGTATCACTCCACTGCTGGGTGTTTGTTGTTCATGGTTTGCGAAGCACGTGATTTACCTATAAAGTTCTTTGCTTCAGATTCTATCACCTAAGGTATGATTGAAATTTTTACCCGCTGTGTTATACTTATTCTACAAATAAATTTTTTTTTAACCTAATATCATCTACAAAATAACATCACAGCTTTCATTTGAAATTTTCTACTGTCTTAATCAATAAGACATGTCATTGTCACGTCACTCAATATATATTCCAGCTCAGTATTGTTTTAAAATTTTTTATTTTTTCTATTTGTTATAATTAATGATTTGTTGACTGGAACCAAACTAGCTTGACTACGGATGAGAAGCCATTTAAGTCATCGGCAAGGGACAACTATTTGATCCAGAACTAGAAATAAAAAAAATAAAAAATAGACTAAAAAGAAAGGTGTGGAGATTTTTTCTTATATCCTTACAAAATTTTTACTCCTATCTAAATTTTTTGATCAAAGTAATATGGCGATAATATTTTTATAATTAAATATTATTTCTATTTAAAATAATAAGCTACAATGTATTCGCATCATCTTATATACAAATTTTATATAGTTATTTATTTATACATCATTATTCTTAAGCATAGTTATTTGGATTTTTTTTTTTTTTTTTTAAAAGCTATAACTTATAAATCATTTGACCCACCACCCACTTATTCACTCACCACCCTTTGCTTGTCTCTGTGCTTGCAAATTGCAGCCGAAATTGAATGTAGTAAGTGCACAGGAGGACTACAATTTTCGTGGAAGATAACTTACTTGTAATTTCTGTCTGTTATGTGATTGGATTTTATACACGTAAAAAATATATATATATTAGTTGAGAATTAGAGATTTTCGTGTCCATAAATTAGAGGGCCATTTTACAAATTTTTATAATCTTAAAACTAGTCTATCACCCGTGCTATGCACGGGGTAAAGTAATATATTATTTAATAAAAATATGTTAATTATATTTAATATTTTTATATTATGTAAAATAAAAATTAAATGAAAGTTAGACAATCGAGATTTTTTTAATTGTTTAAAATTAAGAAAATCACAAAAAAGTAGTATGAGATATTAATTATAAGGTTTCTCACTAAGGCTTGGTTTGGGAAGTAGGTTGGCTTTTTGGCTTTTTGACTTTTTTGGCTATTTTAGCCTGGGCTAAAAAGCTTAGTTTGAGAAGGGCTATTTGGCTTTTTGACTTTTTGGCTTTTTGATTTTTTTGACTTTTTTTGTGAGAGAAGAATGTAATGATTATAGGTTCGATGTTTTTTTTTTGTTTGTTATGGCTAAAATAGCCTATTTTGTTTTTTGTGGCTAAAATAGCCAAAAAAGCCTGAAAACCATCTTGCCAAACAGAGGCTAAAACTCTTATTTTGCTTATTTAAATGAAAGTATAAGATTGACTTTATGTAAGTGAAACAATTCATTTTTTCCTTATTTTCTTAATGTGGGATTATAAAATAAAAGTTAAATGAAAGCTAGTCAATGGGGATTTTCTTAATTTTTTAAAAGTTAATAATTGTTTGGGTAAGAAGTTTATTTCGAATCAAGCAATCTTAGTCGCTTAATCTTTAATTAGGTCAATCTTTAATTTATTTAAATCAAACAAATTTAACCAATATATTTTAATAAAACCACTAAAATCACAGTTAAACCAGCGAATTTGTCAAACCGAAAACGGTTCACCTTATCGGTTAGGTCAAAGGACCAACCAACTTATACAAAAATTAATTAATTAAAACTTTTAAATTATATTTTAATTTTAAAATTTAAACAATCTTGAAGTGAAACACATACAACACTACAATATTAAATAGGAACATAAGGTTTACATAGTGAAATAACTCATTTTTTCCTCATTTTCCTGATGTGGGATTATAAAATAAAAGTTAATAGTTGTTTGGAGAGGAAGTTCATTTCTAATCAAGCAATCTCAGTCGTTTAATTTTTAATAAGGTCAATCTTAATTTATTTCAAATCAAACAAATCTAAGCAATATATTTTGATAAAACAGCTAAAAAATACTATAATATTAAATGAAAGTATAAGATTCACTTTATATAAGTAAAACAACTCACTTTTTTTTTTCTCGATATGGGATTGTAATTATTTTAAAGTTAAATATTATAAGAGTTTCAAAATCTCGTACAAAATTATTTTTAAAAACAAAACGTCTATGTGGGATTATAAAATAAAAATTAAATGAAAGTTAACCAATGGAGATTTTCTTAATTGCTTAAAATTAAGAAAATTTAAAAAAAAAATTGGTATTGATTATAAGATTTCTCACTAAAAATCTTCTTTTGCTTATATAAATAGGAGTATAAGATTTACTTTATATAAGTGAAACAATTCACTTTTTCCTTCTTTTCCCGATGTAGGATTGTAAAATAAAAGTTAAATGGAAGTTAACAAATAAGGATTTTTTTAATTGTTTAAAATTAAGAAATTTCAATCATTTATATAAATTAGAGCATAAAATACACTTTATGTAAATGAAGCAATTCACTTTTTCTTTCTTTTTCTTTTTCTTGATTTGGGATTGTAAAATGATAAATGGAAACTAACCAAAATGAGAATTTTCTTAATTGTTTAAAATTAAGAAAATTCAATAATTTTAGAATGAGAATTTAGAGTTTCTAGAAGGCTTCTCCGTTAAAACTCTCTTTATAAGATGTATTTTATATAAGTGAAACAGCTCACATTTTCTTTCTTTTCCTGGTGTAGGATTGTAACATTTTATATAAATGAAACAACTTACTTTTTCTTTTTTTCCCCGATATGGGATTGTAACACTTTATATAAGTGAAACAACTCACTTTTTCTTTCTTTTCTCGATGTGGGATTGTAATTATCTTAAAGTTAATATTATGAGAGTTTCAAAATCTCATACAAAATTATTTTTAAAATCAAAACTATGTGAGATTGTAAAATAAAAGTTAAATGAAAACTAGTCAATGGGGATTTTCTTAATTATTTAAAATTAAGAAAATCAAAAAATCGAGTATGAGATGTTGATCATAGGGTTTCTTACTAAAAATCTCCTTTTATTTATATAAATGGGAGCATAAGATTCACTTTATGTAAGTGAAACAATTCACTTTTTCTTTCTTTTTCCGATTTGGGATTATAAAATAAAAGGTAAAAGAAAGTTAGCCAATGAGAATTTTCTTAATTATTTAAAATTAAAAAAAAATTAATAATTTTAGAATAAGGGTTTGGAGCTCTTAGAAGGCTTCTCCCTAAAAAACCCCCCACATAGTTTTTAGATAGTAAACAAACTTTGCTTTTTCTTCTTCTCCCAATGTGGGATTATAAAATAAATCATAAACTAATTTGTAACGCCTCAATTTTCATGCCCAAATGGGAATACAATAATCATGGCCATCTAAAATAAAACTGATAATAAGTCCTCATACTTGCATTACATTATATAAATAGCCTTCATGCGATAATATAGTTAATCCTACAACAATTAATTAAACAATAAATACCCCTAAGCGATTACAAGTTTCCAAAGCTTGAGCTTGGTTAGACAAAATGGTTATCCAAACCCACACATACAAAACCCTTGGTTTACACACAGAGTCACAGCAAAATGAGAGTCTCGTACTCTCAATACACATTTCCTCGCCTTTAGTTAGACGGCATCACCATATCTTTTCCTGCACAAAAATCCTGTAGGGTGAGCATAAAGCCCAGTAAGAAATCCTTAACAAAGTATATACATTTTATACAAGTCTCAAGAGATGAAATGCACATGCCATGCTATGCCCTTTTTGAACGTAAAACACACCTTCATTTATTCAAAAACCATCATGCTCAATGATGTCATGCAATTTCAATTGTTCAAAACTTAACAATTTATTTCAAGAGCGGTAAATACGTCTCTGGTAATCCCTAGGCTGGTGTCTGCAAGTAGACTATACGAGTACTATCAAATTGTCCTTTTTACCGGTATTAACCGGAAGGCTCGACACCTATCCGCGCTGATTTTTCGGTCTTTCACCTCGGACCTGCAGACCAACTTATTCTACACCACCTATCAAGACTTACCAACATATTTACCCCAAAACCATTTCATGAAAACTTATTTCTCAACATTCTTTTCTCAATGCAAGTTTTCAAATCAACCTTCAAAGTCTAATATAATAAAATGAAATGATATGCCAATTTCACAAGATGAACATAAATACTTTTATTCCAATTCATCATCAAAGGAATAACACAATTTCTTCTTCTCAAGTATTCTCAACAGTTTAGTCATTTCAAGACTATATCAACATTCTAAATAACCATTTCTAAAATGAACAACAATTCTCATAATCCACAAAATTAATCATTTATACAAATATAAATAAGAAAATTTCTAAACATTATTTATTCTGGCACACAAAATTAAATATAACAATATTACCCATAGATATTCAATCTCTTTTAAAATTCCCAATTTTTAGGTTTTCTCACCAAAAGCCATTCATTTTCAAATATTTGAGAAGATCTCACCAAAAACATCTTTCTTTCATCAACATAGTTCAAAAATATAAATTTCTATTTTTAGAAGGAAAAATGAAGTAAATCCACTTTCAAAATCATTCATCTTCTTGAATCAATAATCCATTTTTTAAAACAAATCAAATGATAATTTCTAAAATCATTTAGATCTTGCAAAAATATATATATAACTTAAAGAAAATCTTTACCTCAAGTTTGACGAGGAAACACGCAAAAAAAATCAAATTTTTGATTTTATCAGATTTTGATTTTCACCGATCAGAATGTAACTCTCACCAAACTCCTCTCTCAATGATAATGCTAGTGCCATGCCCTTGTGATTTTCAGAATCGTCGTATCCACCTGGAACAGTGATACCAGCCGCAAAGGTCACAGTGATAATAATTGTTGCCACCAACAGGAGAGTGTTAATCCTATCCTTGAAGGCCTCGACATTTAAATTTTTTTTTTGTTTTGATGGTCTTTGGTTGCCCTCGTGGAGCACTAGCATGCCTCAAGGCCATCCATGTTAGTTGCCTTCTTCCTTGTCAAAATAGCAACGTGCAGGAGTGGTTGGCCATCCATGAGCATATTTTGAGCGTTAACATTCGAAGCACCGAATTGTATTATATGCTCAAAGAGCTCCTGATGCCCTGCTTCGGCGGCCAAAAACAAGGGTGACTTTTTGTCCAGATTCGGAAAACATGAAATTAATACACTTTCAGCCCGCGTAAACAACAACCTAGCCACCTCAGGTTGATGAGCCTTTACGGCCATATGCAACGTTCTCTTGGACTACTTCGGCACCAAAAAAAGAAACTCCACCAGATCACCAACGGCACCGCTTCCGGCTCCTCTGGATTCGTCAATATCACGGATCTGAAAGGCGGTAAGGTCGGCTTCGAAGCCCAGGATAACGGCGGCAACGTCGACGCCGTCTTCATCAAGTCGTCGGGTGAGGTTCCGTATAACATGTCCGTCATTCAGATCAGCAAGATCTAGCCGTCGGTTCAAGCCGAAGCTCCGACTCCTGGTCCGAGTCAGATGAATCTGACGGCTTTGATGTCGGCTCACGGCTGTAAAGTGTTCACCGAGATTCTGCAGACCTCCGACGCCGAGAAAACGTTCAAGGACAATCTCGACGATGGATTGATAGTGTTTTGTCCCGGCGACGATGCTTGTTAGAGAAATGGTTTTCACCATTAATTTCCGGTAAATTTGAGCTTTTATTAATGTAGGTCCCACACCTCGTTTTGGGTGGGTCCGAGTGGCAACACGTTCCTTGCCATGTGGTGAACAAGAATATATACTCGGGTGGTCGAAACCATTTACGAGTGAATGAGAAATTAATACCGAAGTGAGCCTCATAAACATGAAAATGTTTTGTGTGGTTCCCATAAGTTGGTATCTAAAAACCTTGTCCCACATAGGAAACTTAGAAGAGTTTCAAAGTATTTATAAGCTCTAAGTTGGAGACCTTGGGTTGGGCCCCAAGGGGTACCCAAGTTTTGTAGGAGAAGGAGTTATGGACAAACCATCACCACACGCGCGCGCCGCCGCCGCCGTCTGGCCGGGTCGGTGTGGGTTTGGGTCTTACCAGTCCTTTATTTTTTGCACCAAAAATTATTTGAATTTTTTTGAATAATTTCAGCGGGAAAGAATTCAAAAAAATCTGATATGTTTCGGTTACAATGTTGCACCTTCTCTAACAGTCGCGTCTCCGACTTGGCAACTGTTTGATAACAGTTTTCTATTTCGGAATAGGCACCTCTCAGCCTATATATATCAACCCTCCATTCCTAGTCAGAAAATAACTCTAACCCGTAACTATATTTTCCATTCTCTGTTTTTTTTTCATCTTCATTTTTCTGCATCTTGTGAGTTTATAAAAGAATACATTCTGGTTCGCTGTACAAACGAGTTTGTAGTGCTACATCTGTTTGGGGTGATTGTTGAATCCTGGAGGCAGGACGTCCATTATTCTCGAGCACCTTGGAGAGGGCGAATTTCTGTCTTAAAGACACAGTGTCCATAATACTTCGATTCAACCGAATAATTTAAACAGAACAGATTATTTAATATGAACAGAATCTGCAGAATTTTATTATAACAGATAAAAATCAATGACAGAACTTACAAGTGTCTGAATACTCAAATTAAGAACAAATTTGTGATTGAGGCCAGTGTATGGACACTGTGTCTTTAAGACAGAAATTCGCCCTCTCCAAGGTGCTCGAGAATAATGGACGTCCTGCCTCCAGGATTCAACAATCACCCCAAACAGATGTAGCACTACAAACTCGTTTGTACAATGAACCAGAATGTATTCTTTTATAAACTCACAAGATGCAGAAAAATGAAGATGAACAAAAGCAGAGAATGGAAAATATAGTTACGGGTTAGAGTTATTTACTGACTAGGAATGGAGGGTTGATATATATAGGCTGAGAGGTGCCTATTCCGAAATAGAAAACTGTTATCAAACAGTTGCCAAGTCGGAGACGCGACTGTTGGAGAAGGTGCAACATTGCAACCGAAACATATCAGATTTTTTGAATTCTCTCCCGCTGGAATTATTCGAAAAAATTCAAATAATTTTTGGTGCAAAAAATAAAGGACTGGTAAGACCCAAACCCACACCGACCCGGCCGGACGGACGGCG